GCAGCGCCCAGCCGTCGCAGCCCCTAGCATCCCTCTCGCTGTCACAACTTGCTTCTCTCGCCGTCACAAGCCCCCGCCTTCAAAGATCTATTTTTAGACTTCTCGTTAGGGAAGAAAATCAACATCCCACCATAGATCTGGAAAAAAATAAAAAAAATTGTTCCTCCAAATCTAGATCCGACGAAGATGCAACCAGATCTGAAAAAAAATTTCTTCTTTTAATTGACGAAAGAAGAAGGAAGAAAAACAGGAAAAAAATGAAGAAGAAATAAGAAGAAGAAGACGGAAGGACAAAGAAGAAGATGAAGAAGAAGAAGAAGAAGAAAACAAGAAAAGAAGAAGAAGAAGAAAACAAGAAGACGGAATTGAGAGGAAGAAAAGAAAGAAAAAGAAGGAAAGAGGAGGAAGAGTGGGGAGGGTGGCTGACGAGGTGGGAAGGAAGAAAAAAGGAAAAAGAAAAATAAATGTAATGGATGAGGGTAGTTTTGTCTTTTAACCCTGTAAAGCTTACTAAAAAAGGAAATGGGAACATTATTTGTGGACGGACCGAAAAGGAAAGTGGGAACTTTAATTTTGGACGGAGGGAGTATATATATATATATATATATATATATATATATATATATTTATATTTATATATATATATATATATATATGGAGAAAATGGGTTTTAGAGAGAAGATATACATCGCCGCTAGGTCAACTGGTCATTGCCGTCGACGGAGCAGTGAATCGGAAGCGCAGGACACCGGGAATGGGAGATGGCACTGGGTTCCGACCCCTTGTAGATCTAATCTTCGATTTGGAGCTTATGGTCATCCTGTGGAGGACTGGAGGCTGGAGAAGCTCATAACGGAAGAAAACACACAATCGCTGATTCTTCTTTCAAAATTCAATCCAAGAGGCTTGAAATCTGAGTCTCAACCTTTAATTCTCTTGTTCAAATTTCTGAAAGAGGTCAGTGGAAAAGATTTCGATTTTGGTTAAACCTCTGCTTGATTCAATGGATTAGATCCTGTTTTGATTATATACTCCTTAACCCGGCTGTCACTTTCTGGAATCATAGCTTCAAAGATGGAAATCGAACCCTTATTTTCATTCTCGATTCAAACGAATCGGGTTTTTTTTATCAAGATAGCTGAGAAACATATCAATGGTTACTCATCCATTTTAGTTCTTGAGGATAGTGGTAGATTTGGATTTAGATATTTCCTTGCACAAATTGTTAAAGCTGCTCGGTTCATTCAACCTGAGAAGGGCATTGGTACAGCTGTAGATGGAGCAGATTCTAAGGCCAAATGCTTGATGGATGCAAATAGAAATGTTGATTTCCAGTGTCATCTCAATTCTGGTTTGGGGCTGGGTATGGTTGCTGGGGACGAAACAAGAACATATGCACATCAGGAGATTTATTTAGAGCTTAGAGATAAAGCTGCACAGAATGCAGATCTCAAGGAGGTTTCAAGCTGCACAGAATGTAGATCAAGCTGCACAATACATGGAGCTTTCAAGGAGGTTTCAAGGAGGAATACTGATTTGATTACAACGGATGCCTCAGAGTTGAGCTCAGATACTGCTCCTCCTAATGGTTTGGGACTGGGTTATGTGACTGTCAAGGATGATACAACTAACAATACACAGCAGCCTCAGGGTCAAGCTGAGCAGTTCATGGAACCTGGTTTGGGGACTTCAGCTACAATACAGGTGCAGCATAGGGCAAAGGCTTAAACTCAACTGGAGCTTTCATGGAGGCCAACTGTTTTGTTTACTAAGGTTGCTGCAAACTCGAGTTCTGCTACTGCTTCTCCTAAGGTAGATCCTCCTTTGAGTTCAGCCACTGCTTCATCTCCTGTGCAGGTAAAGAATCAGCCCAGGCCCAATCATGTTTCAATGAGGAATTCTGGTAAGGGTACTACTGAAGATTGCAGCGGCACCTCTGCCAACTCTGGAGAAAATAAAGCTACTAGCCAACTTCTACTGGAGGAAGTTCCTCCAACTTTTATTAAACTGAATGGGGAATTAAAGATCAGCAGGACAAGCCCAATGCTATCGCAATATAATGCAGTCCCAAAATCTTCAAGCCCTTCTAATGCTCTTGGTAAACTACCTGATAGCTCTAGCATTCGTAAGGAACTCAGTTTAATAGATTTCCCTCTTATGGATACTTGCAAAGAAGATTCGAACGGTGCGGCTGAGTTTTGTGAAAAACACAGTGATAAGAACATTAGAGTAGAAAACCAAGATCAAGAAGAGGCTCATGAAGACTTTGGGGATTTTTTGGAAGAGCAACTCACAGTCCAAGGGCGTAAAGGTAAAACAACCAAGAAAAAAAGAAGAAATAGATTTTCTTATGGTTTAAGGGTGTCTAAGTGTATTTTTGGGTGTTCCTTGTTTTTGTTAGTCGGGTATTATTGGGTGTACCTTGGTTAGTTGCACGGGTACTTTTGGGTGTATCTTGTATGTTTTTCAGGTTTGATTTGTTTCCTTTATTACCTTCGGGGCTTTGGTCTAGTCCTCCCCGAACGTGTACTCTTTCATTTTATTTACTTCTTAATAAACAAACCAATGGGGGTCCCTGAAACCCGTCGCACCCGCAAGGGTGGCTTCTTCAGGAATATATATATATATATAAATACATATATATATATATATATATATATATATATATATATATATATATATATATATATTCTCCCTCCGTCCCACTATCTTTGTCCACTTACCTTTTGGCACATCATCCAATGCACTTCTTTAATCCATTTTATCTTGTAATTTGTATATTAAAAAATTATACAAATTATATATTAATAATCTATATGTTAAGACGAATCAAACAAGATCACACATGACTATTTTTAGGCTTACACATTAAGAGAATTTGATAAGTCAAAGTGCTTAGATGAACAGTTCCAAAAGTCAAAAGTGGACAAATACAATGGGACGGAGGTAGTATATATATATATATATATATACATACATATATATATATATATATATATAGTACAGTTTGGGATTCATCAATTACAGCGAACTTTCAACCCAAGAAGGAATTGACGGAGATTTCTTATTTGAGGAGATGGATCTACTCAGGCCTAGGGAAGAAGGACATAGCACAACAACGGGAAATCTACAAAGACCCGAAGAGGGTACGATACTCCCTATGTCTCAAGGTGCGAAAGTTTGAATAAATCTCACTCCTTCCGAATCCAATCCAAGGTTTTTTCCCTCTTTCACTCTAGTTACAATAAGAATTTCTGTATTAGTGAAAGTGGCAAGAAGATTTACAATATATGGTTTGATCTACATGGATTAATTTGGATGCTTGAACTTTTCCCCAAACTGAATCAAAAAAATCCATGGGCTATCATTCGTTTTGAAAAGCATCGTAAAATCACCATTTATTATGGTTGTAATTGTTGGGGAGGCTATATCAGGATTCTTGAGTCTAGAAGAGAAAGCAAAACCTCCACTTTTGTTCCTACGGACAGAGGGGGTATGGTGTATTTTTTCAAAGCCATAGATGCTTTCATTGGTTCTTGTTCAGTAGGGGACACTTCTATTCTCGTGAACTCTGCTAATGCAGTGCAAGATTTACCTCAGGCAGATGCAGCTGCTGATACCGCGAAAGATATAAGTCCTTTGAGGGCTTTCTCCCCCCGGTTGGCAGAGGGATTAAACAATTCAGTGAACAATGAAGACAAGGAATCTCCTCTGCAGAATGAAGGGTATCCAAATGTAAGACAAGGAATCTCCTCTGCAGAATGAAGGGTATCCAAATGTAGAGCCAGATAGTTTGTTAGCACTGAAGCCTCCCCACAGCTTCCTGGACTTCTTAATCAGGAGGAATCATCCCCCTCATCTCCCTCAATTGTGCGGGAGTGATAGAGGAAACACCCTCGTCCTCCTTGGATTTTTTACCGCCATTAAAGAGCTTGGAAGCTTTGGAGATTGCCTTCTTCATCTTGAAAGAGAATAAAGAGAAAGGAAGAGGGCCAATTCTGCAAGAATGAAGGCAAGGGATTGGGGGGGGGGGATTGTGTAAGCGTGAGAGAGAAGAGGGGAGATGGACCGATTTTATAGAAGGGGAAGAGAGGAAGAAGGAACGGTCCACTCCAAAATGTCTCTTCCCAATTGCGGTCCACATTTCTCTCTGCCAACGGTCCCACCATTATTATGATGGGGAAAGAGATTTGAATAGCGCATGGTTCAAAATCGGTCCAGTAGCAATTAGGAGACTTCAAGGAATCCGGTCAAAAGGGTTACAACTCTTTGAAAAAGTGGGCCCGTGATATTTGAAGGGGCACGAATTCCCAGCGTCCATTCCCTAAATGCATTTTCGCATGCATACGGTCCACGCCTAAGCCTTTAATGTCATTACTCCTCTGCCAACGGTCCACCATTATTGAGGTGTCCAGTGACCGTTTTCATGCCAGGCAGCAGTTGGACAGACCTGCGGCACTACGGTCCAAGGGGAGTGTGCCACATGCACTCCACTCACCCAATTATTCATCCATGGCCCGCTAAGAATGCATTATGGGAAACATCATCTAGAGTAAAGTACAGAATAAATTTTCACAGAAGGGTTTTTCCCCTAAAAAGAATCTTTCTCAGAAAAAAAAAAGGAAGAGGAAAAATTTTCCAATTTAAGATGCAAGGAAGACTACAGTCAATTTTTTTTTTTGACTTGTAAAAAAAGGGGCATGTGATGGGAACCAAGCCCATCGAGAGAATACCAACGAATTGGGCCTAGACCCAATCTAGATCCCGTCCATCAAAAGGAGAATCCGGCCCAGAGAAGATATACTGGCCAGTCAAGGGAAGTTGTCCGTGAGGAAAGATAGGAAAAGGAAAAGGATTGGGACTTAAGAATGGGCTGGAGCCCAGCCCATTAGGAACAAGTCACCAAAAAGGAAGGAATCCTATGGAAGAGATTAGGGTAGGCCGCCCCTCAACAAGAGGGACAAGGACGAGGAGAAAGGGACGGACAAAGGACAGGGAATAAGAGATGGACGGACAGGCTTGTCCTCTAGTGGACGGCTTCAAGCTAAGATACATCCCTCCCGGAGAAAGCAAGGCTGGCATGAATATCCTCCCCAACCACTGCGATTATTTGAATGAGATAGTGGATGGGGAGCGCCTATAAAAGAGAGACGGACTAAGAGAGGAGGGATCACATTGTAATAGAGAGAGAAAATACTTGAGATATAATAAAAGATATTCTGGCGATCCTTGAGTATATTCCGATCCTAAGTGGACCGAATAGAAGAAAGGACCGCCGGTTTAAGTTCTTATTCTGTGAGCAATAATTTGTTGGAACACGGGTTTACGCCTACGTCGTACTAAACTGTGTTCGGTTTATGACAGGTTTTGATAATGCCAAACCGCCGTGACATAACAAGGCTAAAGTGAGCAAAACCAAGGCGAAGGAACATGGCATGATGATTTGAGAACCAAGAACCAAGAATCAAGAACGAAGAATTAGAATTGTATTGAGTCGGTCTTAATGTGATCAAGACCGACACAAACTTTCAAATCTTGGCTCTCTAGGCTTCTCTCATCAAAATATCTTTTGCATATTCAAAAATGTTTTTCTTAAGTTTTAAACTGCCTAAAAACACTTGGAGTTCGCCCAAATCAAAAACCAAGCCATCCAGCGTTCGGCTTTCAGAAACCAGCGTTCGGCTTTCGGTTTTCGGCATTGGTTTTTGGCGTCCAAACCAACCAAGTGGTTTTCAACTTTTTATGACTGGTTTTTACTTTTGGGCATATTTAAATAGTTCTCCAACAAAAATGCTTCAAAAATCACCTTCTGTTTTTGGTCATTTAGTGAAAACCATGCGAAACGGCGCAAACTTGGTTAGCCGTGGTTTTCAACTAAATGACGTGGTTTTTAAGATGTTTTACTTGATGTCTTAGCAAAATGCAATAAACAAATGTTTTCAATACTTGGTTTTTATTTTGGAGAATTTACATTTTTGACATCGGCTAATGGCATGACTAAACCAACCATGGGTCTGGCTAAACCAGCCCATCAGCAATGTTGGTGTAACCAACAGCGCTGTCTGGCTTGGGTAGCTGAAAACCATGGTTTGGCGTTAAGTCTTCCAACAGCGATGTTGGATATTAGACATCGCTGTTGAGCCAAGGTTGGATTTCTAGAAACATCTGGAAAAGCGATGTGGGCTTCCCTACAGCGCTGTCCAACCTAAGCCAAAAATATAGTGCATTGGCAGAAAGTTTTTGGATAGCGATGTTGACCCAGCAACAGCGCTGTCAGGCCAAACTTCCATCTTCAAAGTCAGACCTAAACAGCGATGTTCTAGTATTGAACATCGATGTAGGGACCTGACCGTTGGAAGAAATTTAAGGCTAAAACTTTCCTTGTTTGGAAGTCAACAGCCAAAACATTGATGTAGGGGTATTGGACATCGCTGTTGGCATGACCGTTGCTTCCCAATTTTTAAAATCCAAGCCTAGAACAGCGATGTCCAAGCCTAGGACAGCACTGTCTGGGTGAATTTCAGCAGATCCAAATTTAATCAAATCCCACAAATTGTGCAAATCACCCCTTAAATATTTTGGTCCGTTGGAGCCTATTTTTTCTACTATAAAATGGGGTGTTTGGGTCTGTTTTACACATCACATTACTTCACAACTCCTACTCTTTCATTGCAAATCATTCATCCTTTATTCATAGTTTTTTGAGAGCCATTTTTGTGAAGCTTGTGTTGTGTTCTTGAGCGTTCTTAGTTACTCAATTATCCACTCTAAAAGAGAGTATTGTTCTTGAGTGTTTTTAGTGTTCTTAGACACTTGACAAGAGAAAGTATTTCTCTTGTTGTTCGAAGGAAGAGTTGTTTCCTTCGAAGGTTTGTTGAGGTTCGTGTGACTCGAATTCTCAAGTTGTACGGGTTTGTTAAGCACCGTTAAGCTTAACGAGATAGTAGTGTAGCTCGAGAGAGTCTCTCGGGAGGCTGGATTAGCCACAAGCTGTGGTGAACCAGGGTAAAATCGGTGTGCCTCTTTCTTTCCTCTTTACTTCTCGTTTATTCATTTTTTATTCCTACGATTTCTTGATCAAACGCTATTCACCCCCCTCTAGCGTTGGTCTATTATTCTAACAATTGGTATCAGAGCCTAACTCGCGTCCATATTTAACCGTTTGAGAGTAAAGCGATCATGGGCTCTTCTTCTAGAAATCTCTATGCAGGAATTGGAGAAGGTCAATCAACTTCTAGGCCACCACTCTTTGATGGCACCAACTACTCTTATTGGAAGGAACAGATGAGAATCTATATTCGTTCCACCAACTTCCAATTGTGGTTGGTGATCAAAAATGGCGAAGAAATCCCTATGAAGAAAGTGGGAGAAACCACGGTCCCAAAGACCGAGAACTAGTTTGATGCCGAGGACATCAAGAAGATTGAAAACTATGCAAAGGCCATCAATATGCTATATTGTGCGGTCAACCCTGATGACTACCGAAAGATCTCCTGTTGCACAACCTCCAAGGAGATGTGGGACAAGCTTGAAGTGACGTACGAAGGTACCGATCAAGTTCGCGAAGCCAAGATCGACTTTCTCACCCAAGAGTACGAAATGTTCCGAATGAAAGTAGGTGAGAAAATTGATGACATGTTCGACCGGTTCTCAAAGATCATCAACGACCTTCATGCTCTCAAAAAGACTTACACCAACAAGGATCTCGTGAGGAAAATCCTGCGCAGTCTCACACCCGAATGGAGGTCAAAAGCCGATGCAATCTATGAATCCATTGGAGTCTCCAACGTTACCATCGACGGGCTAAGAGGTAATCTTAAAACCTATGAATCTACTATTCTAACCCCGTCTTTGGATGAACAAAAGAAAAAGGGGATAGCTCTCAAAGCCACCAAGGAACCGGTGGAAGAGGTTTCAAGCGATGACGACAATGAATTTGGGCTCGTCATCAAGAAGTTCCACAAGTTCATGAAGAAGGAATTTGAGCGGAAGGGAAGGAAGCACGACGGTCCTCCCAAGTGCTATGGCTGTGGCGAAATTGGCCACATCAAGCCAAGGTGTCCAAAAGCCAAACAAAGCAAGGACAAGCCCGGCTTCAAGAAGCAAAGGGCTTACATCTCTTGGTGTGGCGATTCCGCCGACGAATCAACCAACCAAGAGGAGGACGAAGCTGCAAATCTGTGCCTCATGGAGCACGAAGATCAAAACGACGACGTCCAAGAGGTATGTACCATTTCTTCCGACTCTTATCACTACAAGAAAATTCCTCTTCTGCAACGGAAAAATTTCGTGGCAGAATCTAATTTTCCGTGGCAGATTTCTATTTTGCGACGGATCTGCCACGAAATCGTTCCGTCGCAGAAAAGTTGTGGCAGATTCAAAATCTGCGACGGACTTTAAAATCCGTGGCAGATCTGCGACGGAACTGCAACGGGAATATCATTTTTTTCCATCCAGCAAAATCTGCGACGGATGTAGAAACCGTCGCAGATCTGCGACGGCATTAGCAACGGAAGCCGAATATAGCGACAAATATAGCGACGGTCAGTCCGTCGCAGATGACCTGTTGCCAGAACCAGAATTTTGCTGTTTTCAGCACTACCTATTACAATGGGGTGTGTGGGGGGCAAAACACATTCAATCTTCACACATATAATTCCAAACAAGATTTCAAACACCCAAATTGCTAATTCAAATCTAGATTAATGCAAACTTCAAATGCGAATGTAGCATAATTCAATATGTTCTAACAACAAATATTAAAATGTTAGTGTCAAGTGTTTAAAATGGAGGAAGCTAAGGTTGTAAATGTCTCAACAAATCCCGGGTTGCCCTGCCCCTCCTGTTCCATCATCATCACCTCGTCGAGGAAGGTTACCACCATATAGCTTCCTTAGCTCCTCTTGAATCGTCAGTGACAAGTTCGAGGTTAGACTATCAATTTGTTCCTGCAACCTTTGGTTTTGCTCTTTGAGTGCTGATATCTCCGCTGAGCTTCTACTACTCGTGCTGGAACGGCGAGGTTTGGAGGACGGATTCATCTTCCTCATTTCCCGCTCGTAGTCACCAACTCCAGGAACGNAAAGTTTACTATATTAGTCTCTAAGAGGAGAGGTGCATACCTGACGTACAAGGGCCAGATGGCGTAGTACGTGGGGTGGAGGGGGACACCTGTGTGTCAGTGAATGGACTCGAGGAAATAGAGGGAGTGCCTGTGGATGTAGTGGCTGTGCTCGATCCCTGGCCAGAAGAGCCTCTCCATCTACCAATGACGGACCTCCTCAAACGTGCCAACACCTCTCTATCAGTCTTCGTGGGGGGAGGGGGGTTCTCATTATCACTCATCTGTACGGAAATAAAAATATTGTGTAGTTAGCTCATAAAACAAAATAAATTTCATATAGCAAAATATATATCAGTCATTAACAGTATTAGAAAGAATTGGAAACACGTTTACTTGTCAATCTAATTTCACTCGCTCTCTGTTGAGTCTTGTTCTTCTTCTATGGAGTCATCGGAGCTTAAAATTGGTTCTTCATCTTCTTCTTCTGCATTACTATCATCGTCGGCAAAATTAGCATCTCCCTCACGTGATAGCGTAATGATATCATCGTCTTGTGTCACTTCCATGATTGTGGTTCTCTCGATCCCATTTGCTTGAAAAGGTTCCTGTTGCTCCTTGTCTACTGATTCTAGTGTATTTTCTGTGTCAATCCAATTACCTCTAGGGTGAACTTGGCACACTGCAATCCAATCACTCTTAGTCTTTTGCGTGCAAGGGTATTCCACATACACAACCTGGTTTGCTTGTGCCCCAAAAATGAAAGGATCATATCGGTTAAACTCTCCCTTTTTAAGCACCTCAAGTAAACCATACTTCTTGTGTACTCGGGTCCCACGATTCAACCTCGGATCGAACCATCGACATTTAAACAATACACAACGTTTAAGTGGCAAAGCTGGATACTTAATTTCAAGAATCTCCTCTAATACCCCAAAGTAATCGCCATATTCGCCTTTAATAGAGACCCCACTATTATACACCGCACGCTTTGAACCATGTTTTACTGTGTGGAAGCAGTAGCCGTTTGCAAAGTATATTGGGTATGACTTCGCAAATGATAAGGGACCCTTGGCCACATCACTGATCATTTCCGGGACAGACCTATCATTCTCGACCTGAAGATGAATCGAAAATAGTCATGCACATATGCATTACCTCACATATATTACACATAGAAAGAAAAAAATAACTTTACATGTTTTTCGAACCAACTTGCGAACGTCTCTTCCACATGTTTCAACAGGGATTCTTCACTAATCTGTGGTGTAGACTCTTTAATTTCATTTGCGCACAACCTGACATACACTTGTTAAATCTCTACGGGTCTATTACAAACCAATATCTGCATTAGATGATAAGCAAATTTAGCTACTTACGTAATATAAGGATCAATCTCTAGACAATTGAAGAGTACGTAATGGTGTGCGGCTTTTAGCTCCTCTGCAGTTAGTTGCCTCTTACGCATTTTCCCTTGTACACGTCCTAGAGTTTGAAATATGTCAAAAATATCTTGATTTGTAACATCAACACCTTCTCGTGATTCGGGGTCATTACGAGGCACATTTCTTGCTCGCGTGTAAACGTGTTCTTCAAAGTAATGAGAACAAAAGTACGATGCCTCTCGGACTAAATACGCATTGGCTATGGAACCTTCTACGCGAGCCTTATTTTTCACCATTCTTTTAAGGCGATTGAGGTACCTACAACATTTTCAACGCTTTAGACATATATACCCAATAAACTTTGCAACTTAAAATTAATACTTTTGAAAGTACCTCTCAAACAGATACATCCACCGGTATTGAACAGGCCCAGCAACTCGTGCCTTGTATGGTAAATGAATGGGGAGATGTTCCATGCTATTAAAAAACCCAAGAGGAAAAATTGCTTCTAGCTTGCACAAAATGATTGGGATATCTGCCTCCAACATTTTAAGATCCTCCACAGATATAGTTTTGGATGTTAACCTCTTGAAGTAGTTACTCAACTCCGTAATCGCTTCCCAAACAACCTTTGGAAGTAATGCTCGGAATTCAATGGGCAACAACCTTTGCATGAACACATGACAGTCGTGACTTTTCATCCCAAACACCCTCAGCTTTGTTGGATCAACACATCTTCCCAAGTTTGAAACATAGCCATCTGGAAATTTTAGCATTTTTACCCAATCCAGAAATGCTTTGCGCTGCGTCTTATCCAATGTGTAGTTAGCCTTAGGGTACTTTCCGGTTTGAGGATCACGTTCCAACTCTTTTCTTGAGCAAAACAATTTCATGTCTTCTCTTGCCTTTGCATTGCCTTTTGTCTTGCCCTGTACATCCATAACGGTATTGAACACATTTTCAAACACATTCTTTTCAATATGCATAACATCGAGATTATGGCGAATCATATTTGTCTCCCAATAAGGCAAATCCCAAAATATACTCTTCTTTCTCCATCCACAAGAAGTATCCTTCACAATCTCCGAGTTAATGGCATCACCATTTTCGTCCACGATCCTCCGCATGCCCAAACCTACAATGTCACGTAGTGTCTCTTGACCAGTTTTTCTAATGGGTGGCGCTCTCGTCTCAACTGTATTTTTGATAAACTTCTTCTTATTTTTTCTATAAGGATGATCCATGGGGAGAAAACGTCGATGAGTGTCAAACCACGATTGCTTTCCTCCAGTAGGTAGTCGAAACGATTCAACTTGATCCATACAAATGGGGC